AATTTATTAAAAGTCTCTATAATTGCTAGTATATATATATATATATATATATATATATAGAGATTTATACTAGTAATTACATTTAATAAATACTGGCTGAAAATTTGCATAAAGACATACATAACTTTGTAATTTCATAAGATAAATATTATATTGTATATAAAACAAAATTCACTAAATTAACTTGTTTGAATTTTCAGTTTTATTTATTAAAATTCAACAACTTTTATTTACATATTTAGCAGATGCGAAACTAAAATTTTTTCGTTCAAGGGCCCATTAAACTATCCCTCTTATGGATACTGGATAGTCGGCACGCTTCTGTCTTGAGAATGTATTACAGAGACAAACCATGTCTACTTTCGACGATACGATTTTATCGACAGTGACAGAAAATGTATGTAGTCATGTAGTTTCTGAAAATGGGTGTACTGGCGGTAGTGTACGGGCGATTTCGACGGTAACGGGAAGAAGGCTGGCATGGTCTCTCTTAGGTTTTTTTGTGGTATTGTCGATTTCGATGATTTCACAAAAATATAAAATAAAAAAAGACAGGAATCAAGACTGGATCTTGTCAGGAACTTTAGGTTTCTTTGGATTTCTCTCCGATAACGTCAAGTGAATTGTATTTTTTTATCCTTGTTTTATGTTTAAAGCTGGAATGACACATTAAGGCACTGGAGCACTCGTGAAGTTTCAGCTAACAGCAGCCTGCTCCTGTCTTATAATTTATAGTCAGCTATTTAACCATGTGGCTAAAGTTTGTCATGATTACATAAAAAAATAATGTACTGTCACGAATTTAAACTGTGTGATGTAAAAAGTTGAGTTCTATTTTGCACAATTAACAAGGATGACTAAATAATATTGTTATATTACAATTTATGTTGTCTCAAATATTTATGTTGAACAATATTATTACATTGTTACTATATATTACTTGAATGTTGAATACAGAATAATTTGTAATTTTGAACTCAAAAGTAAAAGTGAAAAAATTTCCAAAATACATTTATGTATGTTATATTTTTAATGGAATAATGGAAGCTATTAATGATATGGAACAATTTCTTGCTGATGTTTGGCATGATATTGCTGGTTTTGTAAGTGAATCTGCGGTTTATATAGATCATGCAGCAACGGAATGCCTTCACTGGCATACTGGTGGCAAGATACATTCCTTCTTTAAGGATGTTGGTGCAATGTCAGTTCATGAATTGGATATGTACAATTTTCGTGTATGTGATTAGCAAATGCATTTGTCACAAAAAAATCTCATAATTAAATAGTTAATTTATTATGCAATTTGTTTACAGTATGTCAAAGTACAGAATTGCAAAAAGGTAGTTATTATTTCTACTTCTACTGATCTAGCTTTTTATCAACGTACAGTTAAGATGATATTAGAGAAAAATGCATTTGAACACTGCACAATTATTACTGCTGCACATTCAAGCGTGTTGAATTACGAGGTTTCAGTGCCACTAGAGGATAGAACAGATTATACTAAATTAAAGAGAGATGTAAAAAGCTGGATGCATTCTAATCAACAGTTGCAGGTAGTATTTATTCGTTTAATATACAAGTGTCTTTACTAACTTTAAATTTATTATATAAAATTTATTATATATTATTAAAGTTTTATCATTATATATTGATTTTTATAGGACTGTTCAGTGACAATACTTTTTCGACCAATTTTTATTAGTCTAATTGACAGTGGTCTATTTGTAACACCACCTTTCAGTGATTTATTATCACCATTAAATAATGCATTGTTAAAGAATTCACAGTATGCAGTTGATCATTTTGTAAGTTTGTTTAACAGTTTATCAACATATTTTAAATTGAAAGAAGATATTTATTCAATGGGAAAATTTAGCGAATATGTTGCTGAAAAATTAGAAACGTTACCAATAGCTATCGATCGTAGAAACGTAAGTTTATGAAAGAATAATTTTAATGATATATATATATATTACACAATTAAAAAAAAACAACAAAGATATTAAAAAATATTAAACGTTTTACTTTAAAACTTAATTTTATATAGAGTTTAGTTGCTGCAAAGGGAAAGGGAGTATCTTTAATCTTTGTCGACAGAATATTAGATCTTTGCACTTCCACTAGTAATAATACTGAATCGTTACTATCCAGAATATTGTGTACTTTACCTCATTTACCTCATCATTACAATGACGTTGCAATAAATATGTCTCCTCTATTTTGTGGTCCACAGGTATAATAGCTCATTATAATTTGATTTATATATATATATATATTTCATTTAAATATTATGAACAATATTACAGAATTGTCAATTATTACATGAAAATTGCATAAAAGTATTTTTATGTTTTAAGGAATTTGTCGATGTACCAGGATGCTTGGCCAGCAATGATAAAACGTTGATGAATATATTAATCACAAAAAAACAAAAGGAAGTATTGTCTATTATGAATAAAATACTCGTCGACATACTTTCATCAAAAGAAAATTTAAAACTAAGAGAAAACCTGAAACCAAAACTAGCAACAAGGATTTCTGCACACAGTTTAGAGAAGCTTGTAAATAAATTTAAAGATGTAGATGATCTTCACATTATATCAGAATCAAGCAAAAAGCTTCAAGTATGTGTATCCTAATATTGAAATATTAAAATTTAATATATGCTTTTTGATGGCCAAAATGTTTCTAGATATGTATAATTTTCTTGTAATATCATATCAATAATTTAGAAAAACATGTATTTAAATATTATTTATTTTGTAGGTGGTACTGGGAATTATACAAACTTTAACATCAGAAAAGACTTCACGGTTAGATCTATTAATTAGTCTCGAAAAATTAATTTTACAAAACATAGCTGTAAGTCGTGATTCTACGAGCGTGCTTGGGCAAGTAATTATCGTATTTAGTTTCTTTTGCACTCTCAGTATTTGCATCACTTTTGATAAGATTACATTTTTCCTTTCGAATATTTTCAGTTAAGTAATATAATAAAAACTCGCGAAAAACGAGGCCTGGATACAGACAATATATTGGCACTTTTAGTGCATATTTATGCGTTAGCTGGAACTGAAATACAATTCTCTCTTCAACAAGAGCAACAGCTGGAAGAAGCGATTACTGATGCTATATTTGAGGATATTACAAAATTAAAAGAAAATATGCTAAACAGCAAGATGTCAATGTATCAACAAACTTTATCGCTTTTTGGTTAGTAAAATGTGCTAACCGATAAATACAAAAATAATAAATCATTAACACATTATGAAAAATATTTTAATATTACAAATATAAAACAAAATCCGAGAATATAATAAATAATATAAAATTCTATTTGACAATGAAAAATAATATCTATTTTGTATATGAAGTTAATTGTATTTAATCTAAATTATACAAAATTGTTTTTATCTTCCTAATATATTAAATTATTCATTCGTAATATATATCAAATAATATATATTAAATATGCTCAAAAATATTATTACACTGATAATAATTTTATGTTAAAAATATAAATTATATTAAACTTTTTTATTTTATAGCCAATTTCGTCATCTCTAGATAACTTTATCCATAAGCTATCTCTCAGATATCTCATAAGTAAATGAGGAAGATATCTCGTGGATAAAGTTATCAACAACTTATTTAGAGATAAAGAAATTGATTTTTCATTACCTAATTAAATTTTTTTATATAAATGTATCATGAAAATATAGATTATAAATTCATCAAGTCTGATAATGTTTGAGCTTATTGAATAATTAAAGATAAGTAATAAGTGTGTAATATAATAATTTGCAATATTATACTGATATATATCTAAATTAGATATTACAGAGACTGAGAGTATAAAGGAAACATCTGCAAAAATAGCGAATCATATTATGAAGACGTTACATGAAATAGCACAGCAACGTGCGCCTCTACATAACTATACGTATGAAACTATGAAGATATATACATATATATAATTTACACATATATACATAATTATTATGGAACATATATTTATATCTGTATACGTATATTACACATTTTTTAATATTTGTATTTACAAAGATAAAATTCATTTTGAAATTGAACATATTCGGATTAAGAATGATTCTAATTCTTATTTCATATTTTATGTGTTTAAATATTCATATATATGCCCAAATATGTATATAAAAAATATATAGTAGCATTTTAAATATTTCTTATAGTTCCATGATGTCTAAATCAAGTTCTCAAGAGATCGTTCGACGTGTTGGCATCTTGCAACAATTATTAACAGATATACTCCAGC